CATCCGATTGGACTGATTGCTGTTTGCTGAAGTCGTGTGACTGAATTATTGTGTTTCTGTGTGAAATGTTGAACGTCACAATAACTCCTTGTGACAATTTTCAGGTGTGATAACTTCCTACAGTGAAATTGACTTCTAACACTCGAACTATCAGTGGATATATTCTTCGCCGCCGAATACGATTACTGCACAATATTTCGTGTAGTGGGATTATTGGACCCCCAATTTAGTGAGTCTGTTCCATCCACTTGTTCATGTCTTAATGCCAATTGTTGGTTCTAATATGGTATCTTGATTTTATATTTTATTGAACACGCATACTTCGGTCCTTCTCCGCTACATAATTGGTGCGCCCTATTTTTTATTAGCATTTACTCTGCAGTACTCCCATAGTTTCCCGTCACCCCGATTTTTTCTCCATGCATTTATTTCATTATCATGGCCTCTGAAGAAACGCAAGCACATGAGGTAGACAGCGTTATATATGCTAAATTGCCAGTATTCGGTTCTCGTGTCCCTCGTCTCTAGTTCGCTCAGCTTGAGGCTATGTTCGAATCTCGATGCATCACCTCCCAAAATAGCCGGTATAATCACGTGGTAGGATGTTTGCCAGATTTTATCGCTCGTGAAGTATCCGATTTGATATACAGTCGTCCGCCTCGCGATCCGTACGATGTTCTGAAATTAGCCATCCTTTCTCGCACCGCTGCCAGCGATGAGCAGAACTTACGGAAACTTCTTTCCGGTGTCGACGTTGGTGATAAATCTCCGTCGCAGCATCGACGCCACATGATGCAGCTGCAAGGTAAATATCCGGTGGACGACGCTGTTTTGAAGGAGCTGTGGCGACAAAGCCTTCCTGTAGAGGTTCGAAACGTCATCTTCGTCATCGAGAAGGTTACGTCTTTGGAAAACTCCCCGAGGTCACCGACCACGTTCACGAAACCTACAGACAATTCGTTGTTTCTAACGTACAACAACCGACCATCTCCGTGTCCAATCTCGAACTCCAACTCAGCTCGATCGCAGCTCAGTTTGCCAAGCTATCTCTCGAACTCAATAACGTAACGAAGCTGATTAGTCGTTCGCCCCAACACGGACGTTCCGGATCTCGCTCCAGCAGTCGCACTTCCAAGCCCAGCGACCAGCCCGGCATGTGCTACTACCATCGTCGTTCCGGCGAACGCGCTGTTCGGTGCACTAGACCTCGTACATTAGTCAGTCGAGCAGCGAAATCGGGAAACTCCATGGCCGACCAGTAATGCCGACCACTTCAGCCGGCTCCACCCCATGTCGCCTGTGTTTTGTATATGACCGATCCACATCATTGAACTTTCTCATTGATACAGATCCTGAGGTCATCGAGATTCCTCCTCCTCCACGCAAGCGAAACCTCCAGGCAGTAGCATATATTTTGCAGGCTGCCAACGGGACGAACACACCAACCTATGGTGAGAAGCGTCTGACACTAGACTTAGGTCTACGTCGTCAATTTCTCTGGGTTTTCACAGTGGCCGATGTTAAAAACCCCGTCATCGGTATGGCTTTTCTCACATCGTTCGGCCTCGCATTTGATCTCCGTTGACGGCAGTTACTCGACAATGCGACCACCTTATACATCAATGGCAAATCCTCTTCCATCAATTCTATTGGAATTCCTCCCGCTTTGCCAGATAACCGGTTCGCTGCCCTTCTCCGCCAGTATCCAGAGATCCTACAACTTGCTCCTAAGACCGTTGCTGCCAAACACGATATCTCAACCAGAGGTCCTCCAACCAATTCTCGTTCTCGCCGTTTAACACCCGAAAAGTTAGTTACTCCTAAGGCTGAATTCCAGCACTTACTGAAATCGGATACCATTCGGCCATCATGTAGTCCCTGGTCATCACCACTACACATGGTCCCAAAAAGTCCGCAGGATATTGGAGACCATGTGGCGACTATCGCGCACCAAATCGCGTCACAATCCCGGACAAGTATCTGATGCCGCATTTGCACGACTTTGCTCTTACGCTTCATGGCAAGTCTGTTTTCAGCAAGTTAGATCTAGTCAGGGCTTATCATCAGATTCCTGTCGCTACTGAAGGTGTCCCCAAGACTGCGATCACCACGACGTTTGGTCTATATGAATTCGTTCGCATGCCATTTGGACTCAGAAATACAGCCAAAACTTTCCAACGATTCATGGATCAAGTACTTCGTGGATTAGACTTCGTCTACGCCTACATTCACGATGTTCTGATCGCCAGCCGCTCTGAAGACGAACATCTTGTTCACAGTAAGCAAGTTTTCGAACGCTTCCAGCAGTACGGTATAATCATCAATAGCAGCAAATGTTAGTTTGGTGTACTGTCACTAGAAATACTAGGACACATTGTTGACTCAAACGGCGTCCGTACTATACCATCAAAAGTATCTGCTATTCTGGACTATCCTGCCCCGGACAGTATCAAAAAGCTACGGCGTTTTCTTGGCCTTATTAACTATTACCGTCCCTTTATCCCACACTGCGCCAAGGTTGTTCAACCTCTCACCGACCTGCTACGACAAAAAAATTGCAACATCACACTCACCTCCGAAGCTATCAAGTCTTTCAAAACGGTGAAGGAAGTGCTAAACCAGGTAACTAGCTTAGCATACATTAACCCTGATGCTAACACACCACTGTTCCTGGTCACTGATACCTCACAAACAGCAATTGGTGGAGTTTTGCAACAAGAGGTCAACGGCGAAATGCAACCTCTATCATTTTTCTCGCATCGACTACAGCCAGCACAAACGAGATATAGCACATTCGGCCGGGAGCTTCTAGCTATTTACTTAGCTGTACGCCACTTCCGACACATTCTGGAAAGCCGACATTTTGTGATTATTACAGATCATAAACCGCTCACTTTCGCACTCAATGCAACGTCCGATCGATATTTCCCGAGGGAATTCAGACAGTTAGACTACATTAGCCAGTTTACTAGTGACATCCGTCACATCAGTGGTCATAGTAATTTAGTTGCCGATGCCTTGTCGCGTGCTCATGTCGACCAAATAGCGCAAACGCCATTAGATCTGCAACTTATATCCGAAAGTCAGAAACACAACGAACAATTATTAGGAATTTATATTGCATCCTTCGTTGAAGTTTGCCGATATGACGCTTCTCAACTGTGATTCTAAAGTCATGTGCGATATGTCCACAGGCAAACCACGTCCGTTTGTTCCTCGGAATCATCCTCAATCTGTGTTTTTGCATTTTTACTCCGTTTCACATCAGAGAATCCGATCCACATCCCGTTTAATTTGTCGACGTTTATTGTGACCTGGTATGCAGAGGGAAATTCGCCAATGGACAAAACAGTGCAAGACATGTTAAATGAGCAAAGTCATCAAGCACACAATTACGCCCCACGGAAACTTCAGCCTTGCTTCAGGTCGCTTCAAGCATGTGCATGTGGATATCGTTGGTCCATTACCACAGTTCAACGATTGCTCGTATGTATTGACTATTGTTGATCGCTTCACACGATGGTCGCAAGCAACCTCCATGCGAGACTCTTAATCTGAAACGGTAGCCCGAACGTTCGTTGATTCCTGGATATCCCTATTTCGTGTTTCGGAGAATATTACAACTGATAGTAGAAGTCAATTTACTTGTTACTTATTCCGT